TACATAGTTCCAAACATATAGATCCTAACACATGTAGTTTCACACATACAGATTCTGAAATACTTAGTTTCACACATTCAGATTCTAACATACGTAGTTTCACAGAGAACAAGATTCTGGAACTAGACTCATTTCTGGTGTCTCTCGGTGTCAAGGCGAGGAGAGGGACTGAGACTGACAGGATGTGAGGCAAGCCTTCACCCTAGCTCTCCTCTGAACCAGGCTCAGGCCGGCACAGGAGTGGCGTGCAGAGATGGAACAGAGAGACCTTTCTTCCATCTGATGCAAACTACTGCATATTGATCTGTACCTGTCTAATTTCTATGAAGTCATTAGGCGTCAATATCAGGAAAGAGATGCTCATGATACCCCCCACCCCCCTTTGCTCTAACTGCAGTTAATTCCTGTTGCTAAAATAGAGCAAAGGATTCATGGTCCTTGGACCATATCAGAACAATTGTCTGAGAAAAGATGCGGGGGTGGAGGTGGGGTTAGGGCGGCAGAGGAGTGAGAGAGAGAGGCTCCTAGGTTCAGAGCCAGACTTACTGTGGCAAAAGAAAAAGGGAAGGGAAAGATGAGTAGTGGGGAGGAGGGAGGAGAAGTAGGAAGAAGCGGGGAGGGAAGAGGCAAATGCAGGAAAGCGGGGAGGAAAAAAGGCAAGAGAAAGTCGGCACCTCCACAGGATTGCTGTGCAAGAGAGACAAGGGTGCAGGGCCCCACACCAGCAGGGGACCAGAAGGAGGTGAAAGTCCAGAGTTGATTACAGAGGGTACAGCTCTTCTCTATGTATAAAATGGTTCCAGGTTTAAGGTGTCCAGAGAAACTATAGGCTATTTCAACAAATGTTTCAAAGGACCCATGCTCTCCCCAACCTCTGTTTTCAACCTGCGTGTGACGGTGTTGCAAGGACCTGCCGTGTCCTGAGTTTGCTTCCTCCTAGGACTCAACTTTTAATTTTCTCACACTTCTGTAATTATGGGGCAAACTCATGACTCGGCCACTTAGTCATTTAACTAACATATTGCCTGTGAAGAGTGGCGTTGGCAGGCAGAAAAATTTCCCAGATCAAGTTAAGATTTAAATAAAAGATGTCTTATTGCTTATATAGATACTTGTAATTTAGAATTGAACTGTGTGGAGGAGGTAGTTGTGAGAAGTTCTATTGAGGTAAATTCTTCTAAGAAAGGTTTCACTGGGCAACAATCTCTGTGAGTTCAAGGCCAACCTGGTCTATAGAGCAAGTTCCAGGACAGCTAGGGCTGTTACACAGAGAAACCCTGTCTCAAAAAACAAGAACAAGAAGAAAGGTTTCATTTTTTTTTTTTTTTGATTTTTCGAGACAGGGTTTCTCCATAGCTTTTGGTTCCTGTCCTGGAACTAGCTCTTGTAGACCAGGCTGGCCTCGAACTCACAGAGATCCGCCTGCCTCTGCCTCCCGAGTGCTGGGATTAAAGGCGTGCGCCACCACCGCCCGGCAAGGTTTCATTTTTAATTCATTGTAGCACTGTGTATGGACCCCAGGCCTGACCCTTGCGAGTCACCGACTCTATTCTGAACTCCAGCTCAGAGCCTGTGTTCTTTCAGCCATGGGTCAGGTTTCTCTTAGCCATGGCCCCTGAACAGAAACGGGATCCTGAGCCTCAGCATGCTGCTCTCTGCTGCCACGGGAGGGAAGAGGCTGGACTGCTTGGCTAAGGGAGGAAAGATTTTTTGCTTTGCTTTCTCGTGGGCTTTTAACGTTTTAAAAATGGTTTAAGCTGGCCGGGCGTGGTGGCGCACGCCTTTAATCCCAGCATTCGGGAGGCAGAGGCAGGCGGATCTCTGTGAGTTCGAGACCAGCCTGGTCTACAAGAGCTAGTTCCAGGACAGGCTCCCAAAACCACAGAGAAAAACCCTGTCTCGAAAAACCAAAAAAAAATAAATAAATAAAAAAAAAAATGGTTTAAGCTTCCCAGGCCTCCCAATCAGGACATTAACGATTGCAGGCTGGAAGGCTGGAGAGTTGGCTCAGTGGTTAAGGGCAATTTTACTCTTTTAGAAGACCTGTGTGTTTGGCTCCCGGTTCCCACATGGTGGTTCACAACCTTCCATAACTCTAGTTCCAAGGATCCAATGCCCTCTTCTGACCTCCAGGGGCACCAGGCATGTACACGATACACACACACACACACATACACACACACACACACTGCACACACACACACACACACACACACACACACACACACACACTGGTGGGGGGAACAGATAAAACACTCACATGCATAAAGTAAAAGGATCTAAAAATCCTTTTCAATTGCAGCCCAACAGACGTAATGCAATACAAGTTGTGGATGGCACTTACCCTCCCTATTTCCTTGCCCACCAAGTATTTGTTGCAGCTCTTCTGCTTGCTCTTTTATTTGTGGCTTCAAAAACAGGTTTTGTGCTGCAGTTTGAAAACTTTGGGTGTGAAGCCACCCAGTGGCCATCATCATGTCTGCACTGAAGCGAATGCTGTATGGGAAACATTCTACAGAGCTTTGGTTGAAAATAGGCGATGTTAAGGCTGGGTATGGTGGCACACGACTTCACTCTGTAAGCCTGTATACCAGCCTGGTATACAAACCGAGTTTCAGGACAGCCAGGGCTGTTAAACAGAGAAACCCTGTCATGAAAAAAAAGAAGGGAGGGGAGGGAGGGAGGAAGGAAGGAAGATTGGTTACTTTAGAAAAATTAACTGGGAAGCTGGCTCAGTAGGTGATGGTGTTTTCTCCCAAGACTAAGGATTTTAGCTTGGTCCCCAGGACACACATGATGGAAGACTCCTGAAGGTGTCCTTTAACTTCCAAACACTCACAACATTGTCACCTGCATCATTTACACAAAGTAAAACAAAAAACAAAGTGCCTGGGAAAAGTCTAAATTTCATGCAAGACGATGAAGTGGCGGCCCTTTCCGAGAGATGCGTTTCATACTGGATGTCGCAGCAGGAGGCTGTCTGGAAGTTAACTCTTCATCTCACGCCTCTTCCTGTGTGCATCCCACCAGCTAACTGCACTTAAAAGAACCAACTTATCTGTCATTTCCCATGTCTAGAACAAAAATGCCTAACTCCAAAGTCTTACTGCTGAATACATGTGCTGTGTTTCTGTCTTAAGAACTCTGTACATCTGAGATGTAGGAAATGCAGCTTGGCCCTCAGGGGCATCTCTCAGGGAGACAGTCAGTGCCTATTAGAATCACAGCAGTGTTGGTTACAGGCGGTTGGAATGGCATTCGCTACTTGGGAAAAGAACTGAGGAGAGTATGACCCTAGTTTCTTCATCACTTGGGTACGGAACCAAGGAAGGTCCAAAGTAAAGCAGTCTTGGGCTGGAGAGAATGTGCAATGGTAAGGACTACTGACTGCTCTTCCAAGGACCCAGGTTCAATTCCCAGCACCTACACAGTGAGCCATAGCCACTTGTAACTCCAGTCTGAGGTGCTCCCACAGCAATATGCATCACAGACACAAAGACAACACACCTCTTAGCCACTGTTCTATTGCTGACACCACGACCAAGGTAACTTAGAAGAGAAGGCATCTAATGGGAGACCGGCTTACAGGTTCAGAGGTTTAGTCCATTAGCATCAAGCCTGGCAGTAGGCAGACATGGTGCCAGAGCAGGAACTGAGAGCTACGTCCTCATCTGCAGGCAGAGACTGACACTCTGGTCTTGGCAGAGGCATTTGAAACCTCAAAGTCCACCCCCAGTGACAAACTTCCTCCAACAAGGCCACGTCTCTTAGTCCTTCTAATCCTTTCAAACAGCACCCCCTCTGGTGACTAAGCATTCAAATATGTACAGCAAGCTATCTAGCCTAGACTAGGATGTGGGATTGGGACCTAAGGCCCGATTCTTCCTTCGCTGTGACATGGGCTAGCAATTTCATCTTTCTAAATAAAAATCAATGGCAATATGTGGACTCACTGGCTTCCAGAACATCTGCTTTAGTACATACATCTCAAACCTCATAGGCTGCACTTCTATAAGGGAAATTTGTAAAGCCAGACCTCAACTCACTTCTAGCATTCTCCATCTAAATGAGGGCATTAGGGGCCTCACTACTGCCCCAAGCAAAGCTAGAATCTTTACTTCAACCTTCCATGCCAAAGCTTTACCCTAGGCGAAGCTGTCTTGAGAGTTTCTCTGTGTAGCTCTGGCTGTCCTGGAACTTTGTACGTAGACCGCCAGTCTGGCCCTTGAACTCACAGGGATCCACCTGCCTGACTCCTGAGCGCTGGGATTAAAAGCATGTACCACCTGTTGTTGACTGAAATCAAGATGGTCTTATCTTGGACAGTCTTATTTTCATCTTACTTCGCCAACAATGCTAAGAAAATGAGATCTGTTATAGGATGCCCTCTGCAGTCAGAACACATTGGTACCCTGTCTCCCAAACCAGGACCATTAAGGGCTGCAGAGATTCACAATAAGCAAATAAAGCATCCCGACTTCCTCATCCTCAGCTAAATTGTAAAAACAAGTGTTGACTATCCACTGCAATGGCAATATGTGGAAGGTAGAACTCTTCCAGTTCTACCCTGGCCCACCCTAGCCAGGGAGCTGGTCCAACCATTCACAATTTTCCTGTACTAGCCTAGAAAACACACAGCGCACCAGCTGTGTTCTCTACAGCTCCAGCTCACCCCGGGGCCTTCAGCAAGGCAGAAAGCTCAGAGTAACTTGGCTTCTGGGGGACTTGAAATGCCAGGATGGACTAGTCTCTAAGTGACACCGAGGAGCACTCAGCAAAAATCTGTTAGCACAGACGCCGTCATGGTGGTTTCTATGGCGGGGTCAGAATTCCGGAGCTTGTTTTGTTTTCAATTACATGCCCAGTGAAATGCATGAAGCCCCAGGAAACGAGCAGAGGAAAATGTCATCTATTTTCAGACGGAAATATGGAACCCATGAGAGGCTACCATAAATACTCAAGGATAAATCAACTGACAACCAGGAAGACAGACCTCAGACTTAACAGTGGTAAACAGTTTTTATTCAGGCAATGAAACATGGAAAAAATATATTAGTAATTATCATAATAATTCTTTTGTGTGAGTATAACCTTTACAAATATTTACCTGACATATAAAAAGGGAAATTACTATGTGTATAAAATCTATGGGGATGATTATTCCATACAACACAGCCCTGACAACAGGAGCCAGCGCGGCAGGTGCCCCCCACACCCAGTGAGGGGCTCCTCACACACTTTAGGGCACCGGGGACACGATGGGAGCAGATGTGCAATAAACACTTGGCACGTTAGTACAGTGGGCATCTACTGGCAAATACAGACTCGCTAACAGCGATACTGGAAAGCTGACTACTGCCTTGGGACTTCAGAATGACTGAATCCTGTCCCAGGGGTTGCAATGGACGAAGCTGAGGCTGCAGGATTAACCTAGACACTGCCCTGTATCAGATGTGGTTTCAGAGTTCAAATTTCTGTGTCCATTTGAAAATTATTCACAAATATAGAGTCAGTTGTGTAAGAGGAAGCACTTTTGTTGGGCATATTCAGATACCACAAAAAGGCAAAGCGGCATCTTGACATACACAACTCCATACAGGGAAGGCCATACCTCAGCCCCATGCTTGGTCTCCTCTGAGCAGTGAAAGCATCATACAGACTACCTAAGGCCAGCATTGCAGCAGCATCTCCATACTGGAACTATACGGGAATCTATGTGTTTACATAAAGCTGAAACCACAGTAAAGAAAGTCATTCCTCAGGAATCTTATTTGTCCACATCTGACTGCAGGCTGACAGGCACAGAGAGGGGGCTGCATTTGGATGGAAACTACCAGAAGTGCAATCTGTAGTCTCTGCAAGTGACTTGCCTGTGCTCTGCACTGGTTCGGGAGAGAACCAAGAGGGAGACACGCTGTTTCTAGACATTTGTTTCCCTTTCTTATCCATATGGGACCCTGAAGAATTTAGTAGTAAATGCTTTTTCCCCAGCACTAGGGATGAAATCCAAGGACTTGAGCATGCTGAGCAAGTGTGTCACCAACTGAGCTACACCCCCAGCCCTAGTAAATCGCTTTAAAAAAAAATAACTGGAATCTGGAAACCAGTCAAACCTTTCTGAACATTAGTTTCCTTTAAATAACTTTGTTATTAAAACTTTTTGAAAGATGATATCCCAGACCTTTGGCTTGGTACCCGGGGATTCCCAGACTTTATCTGTTCTTTAGTAAGTACATAATAACCTCCTACCCTTAAAAATCTTCATAATATATACATTTTCAAATTCCTTGCTTGAATCAGACTCTTTCAACACCTACATTCTCTTGTCTCAAGAAAAGCAACCTGAGAGCAGGCTCAGAGGGTCACAGACCTACAGAGAGACAGCAGGAACGCAGAGTGTCACAGACCTACAGAGACAGCAGGAACGCAGAGTGTCACAGACCTACAGAGACAGCAGGAACGCAGGGGGTCACAGACCTACAGAGAGACAGCAGGAACGCAGAGGGTCACAGACCTACAGAGACAGCAGGAACGCAGAGCGTCACAGACCTACAGAGACAGCAGGAATGACCAAGTCGAAAGACCACGGAATGAAATGGAGACCAAGGAAAGGAACTACAGACGGTCTGCACCACTTTCAGTTTGGTGCGCCCTGAACTCTGTCATGGCTCCCGATGCCGGTGAGCTGCAGAGGGGCCCTGTCTAGCCTGAGCTATCTCTGCTGCAGGTGAGAGCTTCGGTCTACTGTGGTCAATCCAGGGCTGCCTGGTGAATGATCTGTGCACGGACAGTGCCAAGTCTGCACAGGGAGAAAGCGGGCTCTGCCTGGGAAGGAAGCTGAGCCTGAACTCGAATCCTAAGTGATAGGGACCACCCTCCCGAGAGAGCCCTGCACTGAGCGCTTTCTAATTTGGTCTGCTTCTGAAGATGCTAGGCTCCACACTAGAGCACCAAGCAGAGAATACAAAATTTAAGAAAGTTACCAGTCTCCAAACAGCGTAAGCACACAGTAACCGGGTCTGGGATACTGACAGGTAAAACCTGTCGACACTTTGGCAAAGAGGAACTAGAGAAATGGGTCTATGCTGAGTCTCAACAGGTTCACCCAACGCTCCCAAACCACTTTCTGAGTCAGTAGCTTCTATTTCCTTTGTGTTTTAGGGGTTTTGTTATTTATTTTTACAATGCTGGGGTTGTACACCAATGCCTTGTGTGTGTGGTTAAAAAAAAAAAAATGCTACTACCGAGTAGCTCTTAAATCTTTGAAGATAGGATCTCATTGTATAGCCCAGGCAGGCCCGAACTCTTGGTCCCTGCCTCTGCCTCCAGAAAGCCAAAATTATAGGCATGTACCACCAGGCCTGGTCCCCCTTTTAACTGCCTAACAAACAAGTATTTTGGCCCCCCAGCATGTGTGGAAGGAAACTTTGTATTTTTACTCTCTAGAGTACTAAGAGCTTTTTAGGGCTCATTTAATTAAAAGAAAAATAAGTATTCTTTCCTCTGCCTAGTATACTTTCTTAATTTTCCAGCTGTGCAAGCTACATTTTTTATTCTTGTTGGAGAGTATCCACAAACTAGATGCTGCAGAAATTTCCTGGCAATGGTGATGACTAAGAGGCCACTGGCAGACATTGCTTACAGAGCTATTTCATGTCCCCTGCACAGCAATCTCATTTAGCAGGGCCTGTTTTTCAAGGGGTCTCTTCCGCCAGTGTGGCAGGGAAGGACAGGCACCATGCCTCTTCTATGCTTTGTAACATACAGCATAGGATGCTTTAAAATTGCACAGGCTTAGAAAGATGACTGGGGCCAGAGATGCAGCTCCACAGTAGAGTACTTGCCTAGCTAGCATGTTCAAGACCCGGGTTCAAGTCCCAGCACTACCAAAAAAAAAAAATTCAGGAAACAAGGATGAGAGATTTTTTTGATGGAGACCACTCATACTGGAAAAAAAAAAATCAATACCAATCACACACGGACACCACCATTACACTGTGGCAGAAACTTCTGCAGTGTTTCCTGAAATGCAAAGTTAACTTCCCTTGTGGAAGAGAGTTAAGCTGACGTCAGGTATGTCCCCTGAAGACACTTGAACCCACAATAATGTCTATGGCTACAGCCGTCACATTAAGCCTCTGTGACTAAATGATTGTCAAGCCATTCCTCCAACCACAGGTAGCTTCTACTTGTTCGTGGTTTTGTACAAAATGGTAAGACAGTAGGCCTTTAAAATACAGCCTAACCTAAGCACAATTATAACAAGCACACATTGACAAAATGTGACCTCTAGCTTGAAAAGACACTGCTCGCTCCCTGGGGCTGAAGCCTGCACCTGCATGGTGACACACCACTAGAGGGACATTGTTTCTGAGACCTACAGTTTCTCCATGAGGCATAATTCATTTCTGGAGCTGGCTCCTGCAATAGTTTGACAAGGAGGAAAACGTGTGTGTACTGAATAGTGCATATTCACGATGACTCAGGGTAGATGACGAAGGCCAAAAAACACATTAAAGCTGGAATGGATCTGGTTTTGCCTATCAAATGGAAAGGAACTCACTGACAGCAGGGTGGGAAATTTCTCTTTGGGGGTTAACATCCCCCATTCTGTGTTCACAGGATTTCATTTTGTCTGTGTGGACCTCCTCCCTACGCTGCCCTCCCCCGCATTCAAGCCGACTTGGGGGATGACTTTTTACTGCCTGTTTGGCTTTAAAGTCCACCTCCAGCATGAAAACGTGTGTTGTTTTAAAGTCTCTGAAGTGCCATGCTTGTAAACACAGAAAACCACAGCCCTCCACCCCAAACTGGTCCCTAGGCTGCCCTCTCTTTTAACAAAACCAGCTGACCCTTTCCCAAGCCCCTTTTGTGTGTATTTCAAATAGATAACAACAGCTGGTTTTGTTTTAGAGACCAACTGCCCCCAGGTGGACACATCCATCAGATGTGAGACCTGAGGGAGGCCCACGCTGTTGCTCATTCAGTCTGAGCACAAGGGGCCAGGCTGGGACCCAAGGGTCCAAGCACCAGGGTAACAAACAGCACAGCAAAGTCTTCCTTGGACATGAAACCTACATCCCGATCTTCACATCCCTCATCTCCCCACCCTGACTCAAATTTTGGTTTGGCGGGCCTCTGATTTCTGAGAAAAGGTCTATTCTGCCTCATGCTGTGCTGCCCTTATATTCCAGGTCCCAACGGCTTTTCTGCCCTACCCTCCCAACAGCTACGATGTCACCACACTTCCGCTCACCCCTTTTTTTGAAACATGGTCTCATACAGCCCAGGCTGGCCTCCAAGTAGCTATGTAGTTGAGGATGACCTTGAACTTCTGATTCTCCTGCCCCTGCTTCTGGAGTGTTGGAATTACAGGCATGCACTACAGCATCCAGTTTCTGTAGTTCTGGGGATCGAACCCAGGGCTCTGTGTATAGGAAACACTCGAGCAACGGTGCAGTGTTGTCAGTCCTACAAAGTCTGAAGCTGGCTTTGAGACCTAGGCTCTGCTTCCAAAGAAGACTCTGATCTGTGTTGATTTATGTAACTATGCTCCTCCCTAAACATCCATATCTGAATATGCCTCAGGGGACAGTGGCAGCATGTACACATATGCATGCATGAGTGAAATTAAAATCCCTGGAAATAAAAGGGAACTCAAGTCTCACTGAGAAACTGTTAGTGGCAATAGGGCCAAACTGTCTCCTTCAAAAAAACGGCCGATACTGAAATTTAAACGGTTAACCAGGTCATAAAAATATCAAATATGTGCTGGGAAGATAACCCCACACGGTTGCCACAAAATTAGAAATTTCACACACTCGGGAAAAGTAAAGATGAACTGCAGATGGAGAAGCACGCGCTGGACCCAGCAGCCTGACTAGGGGAAGCGGCAGCCTGGGTGCGCAGGCCCCCACTGACACGTCAGCTCCTTCCCCACCACCAGCCAGGCTCCAGCTGCAGCAGTGGGGTGCAGCGGGACAGGCAGCAGCAGGCATGTGCTTTTTAAAAAGTTATTTTTCTCTGCAAAGGAGGGATTACTTTTAGATAAGGCAAGATAATTTGTGGTCACGACACAAGCAGCCAGACTCAGATCTGCACAGCTCACGGGAGGAATCTCAGTCCGTCTTTCCCAGCTTCGCGATGAGCTCATCACAGATTTTCGTCAGTTCTTCAATTTCTTGATTCTGAAAGACAGAGGATATGATTTGCAGGCTGCTTTGTGTTCTGAGAGAAGAGCTGGTGGCTAGACCCGCCCCAGACATCCTAGTGCCTCTCCACCCCTGCACCAGTCCTCTGAGGTCGAGGACCAAATGCCTTCCATCCATCAAAGTGTGCTCCCAGTGCTGCGCTAACTGCGCTAAGGGCGGGGAGAGCCATCAACCCTCCTGAAGCCAGTCCATAAACCTTAGCTTCCGATTCTCTTGTTGAGTGGCGCGCAGGCTAAAACACAAGGATGTGGATTTTGCTTCACCCACCAAGAGCTTCAGGGACTGGGATTCCAGAGTCTGAGTCAGGGTGGCCAGACACAAGCTCTAAGTCAAAGGGCACCACTGCACAAATGCACACGTGGCGATGCAGCGAGTTCGCACCACTGCACAAATGCACACGTGGTGATGCAGCGAGTTCGCACCACTGCACAAATGCACACGTGGCGATGCAGCGAGTTCGCACCACTGCACAAATGCACACGTGGTGATGCAGCGAGTTCGCACCACTGCACAAATGCACACGTGGCGATGCAGCAAGTTCACACAAATGCACACATGGCGATGCAGCGAGTTCAACAGCGAAGAAGAAAGAGAAAGGCCAAAACCCGCCGAGCATGAGAAATACAACTGGTGCCACAGAGACTGAGCATCGAGGTCTCCTCCCAGGATAGCGAGAGGGATCGGCAAGGGGGCCTGGAGCAGTTCCCCTTCCAACTCACCCAGGGTGTATATACAACTCCAAGGGGGCAAGTGTTGACACAGATACCCCGAGGAGGTGATGTGTAGAATGGAAAAGCATCCTGAGAGGGGGGTTAGGATCAAGGATACACCACCAAGCCCAGTCAGGCAGGCGTGAGGGAGGCAGGCGTGAAAGGCAGGTGTGAGGGAGGCAGGCAGGCAGGCTCGAGAGATGCAGGCGTCAGACTGGAACCCCCAACTCCTATCTCTATAAAGCACTCCCAACTCAGCTTAGGCAAGAGCCCTCCACCTTCTCATGTCTCTCTGCTTCACTGGCATGTCCAAAGGCAAGCAGACAGTCTTGAGCCTGGCAACATTATTTCTGCTTTTAATTTCTCCACGACAGTTTCTCAGAATCCATTATGTTGCCTGAGATTTGATGGGGGCCACCCTGTCCATTATAGGACGCTTGGCAGCACTGCTGGCCTCTCGCCCACTCTGGGGCTACTAGCATCTCCCAGCCTCCAGACAAGGCCTCGTGTCCCTGCAGGGCTCTGAAAACTGCTGAGCTACAGCCCCTGAACTTCACTTAAAACACAACTCCCCCCCACCCTGAACCCTGCCTATGTCTGATGGCTCCCCGTAGCCTTGGTTAATAATGTGTGTCCCCCCAAATTTGTTCATAAAGGAGCTGGCCTGGAGTGTCTGTGTAACAAGAGCAAAGCCACCTTCCTCCAGATCCATGCCAAGCTATGTACACCAAGGACTGACATACACCACAGGAGAGCAGCCAATGCCCCTGTATCCACTAGAAGAACCCTGTGACAGAGCCCGCACGTACCTTCTGTTGAAGGGCCCTTTCCAAGGACTCCACCTTCATCTGCTCTTTCCGGAGTCCAGCATGGAGCGCTGCGCTCTCAGCCTTTGCCTTTGAGCGAACCTGAGCGATCTCTTCATTGGCTCTGTGATGGAAAGTTGGGTTTGTTTGCGGAAGAAATTAGAAGAGCATGGTTAGCCACGAGGAACAGACTCAGGGTACTGACTACTGACTTTCACAAAACCCAGATTCCAAAGAACTGAGAGGAAAACCCAGAAACAATGACTTACAAAATGCACCTTATATAAAACTGCTAAGCACATTCCCATGGCACACCCTGACAGCACAATCAATATACTTCAACATACTGAAGGACCGCAATATACTTCCAAAGTTAGATCTCATGAGAAAATGACATTATTTAATTTTTCATAACAATCCTAACTTTTTAACGATCCAGTACAATGGTGGCCTGGATTACTCTGCACCTGATCATACAATGTTGGGTGTCATTCAACGTATGCCTAATGAGGCCAACTGGTCAGTCTTTACAACTATTATAACTCCACGCTTGCTGGTCCCCAGTTCCTCATCTTTAATCACGAAGGAACAGTCTACAGCGCTGCTCGCTACAGCACTTCCACACCAGGACGAGTTTAATGACCATGATGTTCAGCAGGAGTGGCCGCCTAAACGGAGACCTTCCAACAATGAAATGCCAGGGAGAAGGTCCTTGTGAGCACAGAAAGATAAACTCCTTAAGGGGCTTAGCATGTACGTCTGAGGAAAAACACAAAATGCCAGCACTAATGGGCTAAAGGTTAAGCGGTGAGAAACAGAGGGGATGCTGTGTGTGCACACGTCTGTCTATACTCTAACCAGAGGAATAAAATCTCTCACACACACCTGAAGTCACAAGCAAGAACACAGATAGTAAAAGGTACAACTTTGTTACTCTGTTTGTCTACACCCGCAGCAGTCAACAGGCGCAGCGCACATCACAAGCTCTCACCTGTCCAGCTTTTCCTCTGCGTGAATCTTCAGGGCCTGGTATCGCTGCTCTTCCTGCTTAACCCTAGCCAGGTAATCCTGAGCACATTTTTTCAAGGCTTCTTCATTCTGTTCCAACGGGAAAATTCAAAACAAACATGAATATCTCTTTGTTTCTCTTGCACAGTGTATCACAAGGGTTGGGGATTTTTGTTTGTTTTATAGGAAAGTCTGCTTAATTGAGATGTGTTTAATTCATAGTCCATGGCAACTTCAACAGGCTTGGGCAATCTCCACTAAAGAAAGCCTATAGACTTCTCCATGTCCTAATTTAACATTGCTTTGTAAATCTCTTCTAATTTTAGCACTATCAAGAAGGAGCCCACCAAGCCTCAGCTTGCCCACCACTCTGACAGCAGAGACTGCCTGTTACTAAGACGCCACACGACCACCCAGGAGACAAGGTGGAAGGACACCCACCTTCTTGAACCCTTCTAGCACGCCTTTCAGGTTCTCGTATCTCCTGAAGAGATCAGAAAGGGACCTTTCCACAGAGTTCAGGTCAGCCAGGGCCTGCTCCTTCTCCATCGTCAGCTGCTGGAAACTCTTCTGAGAGGTCATGCTTGTCCTCTGCTCGTCTTCTGAGAACCACAAGCCAAAGGGGACAAAGTGAACACCGACTCTGGGCGAGCCAAGCAACGCGCTTGGAAAAGGGGGTGTGGCCTAGGTGTCCCCATGCTACAGAACTCCTGTTCTAGAGGGAGGACACAGTGACAAGTGACCAAGTGACGGGGAGGCAAGCAGGATGTGCCACGTGGGGACAGAGCTGGTGTCCACAGAGTGGCCTCTCAGGGCACAGACTGGAGCAGGTACCCAGAAGGGACTGGGGATAGGAGCCACACAGAGCTGACAGCCAGGGCCAAGGTTAGGCTGGGAAGGCAGCTGCTGGTGTGGACAGTGGGGAAATCTTTTCGGTACTTAATGCTAGAAGGTCAGAATAGATTCATGTGAGAGTCAAGCTTTAGGAAGGCAACTAAATGAGGGTGGAAGTTCAATACAGACAATTAAGTCAGTTTCTCTACATACGCTCTCTGTGCAGGGTCTGATGGAGGGAAATCAGAACCTGCAGACTAAACACTCACTAAGGGCAAAGGCACACACTTGCCATGCCAGTACTTGGGAATCTGACCTAGAAACACTGAGTTCAAAGCCAGCTGGGCTACACAGTGAGTTCAAGGCTGCCCTAGGGTGTGTGTCTTTGCCAGACCTCCTGTTTCTCTCTGCTTGGCCACATACTCCCACCAACACATGTGTTCCGTACAACCATATGGGACCCAGTGACTGCAGACTAAACTCTGAAACCATGAGCCAAAATAAGTCCTTTCTCTTCTGTTTATAATCATGGATTTGGTCACAGTGGTGAGAAAACACAGAAACAAGTCATGAGAACAGACCAGCTCAGTACCCATAGAAAAGAGAGCCCAGCCCAGAGAATATCGTATTAAATAAGCCAGGCACAGGAAGCAAAACACTAAATATTCTCAGCATATGCGGAGGCTAAATGAGCTGATCCTATAGGTGTAGCGGTCAGAATAGCAGTCAGTAGAGGATGGGAAAGGTGGGCTGGGAGATGAAGGCTGGGCAATGAGCACCAGAAGAGTACGTCTGAGTGTTCTATAACAAAGTAGGATGGCGTCCACCTGCAAGAACTTGGTATTTAATTTATAGAGAATTAGAAAGTACATAGGAATTTGAATGTTCCCAAAGAAATGACAAACATCTTTAAAAAAAAAAAAAGACAGGTCTCTCTGTGTAGTACTGCTAGGCCTGGAACTCGCTCTAAAGACCAGACCAGCTATGAACTCACAGAGATCTGCCTGCCTCTGCCTCCTGAGTGTGGGGATGTGATGCACCTGCCTTGAAATAATAAATGTTTAAGGAAATGCTAGCTATAATAGTTTAATTACTGGACACTGAATTCATGTACAAAATACCACACTGTTCCCCAAAATATGTACCACTATGACATGGTGCTGTGGGGCCATGGTCTGTATCCTGTCAATTATATTTTAAATAAACGCTGATTGGCCAATAGCCAGGCAGGAAAAAGCCAAAGGGAGTCTGGAGAGATGGCTGAGCAGTTAAGAGCATGCATGGCTTTTGTGGAATATCTGGATTCAGTTCCTAGCACCCATTTTAGGCAGCTCACAACCCCCTGAAACTCCAGTTCCTCTTGTGGTTTCCATGGGCACCTGGTACACATAAACTCAGGCAGGTGTGTGTGTGCGTGCACACACAAATAAAAAAAGGAAGAAAGAAAAGAAGGCTTCGGAAAGCTAGCTGTCCCCTCCAGGATGAACAAATGACCGTGTGGGAAGGCACCGAGGGGAAGGGGACTCCACAGATTCCAAAACTGTAAAAACACGATTGTCTATTGCTGTGGCACCTGACAGGCTCAGGGAGCTTCTAGGGCCCATGCTCAGAAAACAAAACCAACACACAAAAACCCTTTCTCCTTACCAATCATTTGGGCTATGGTCTTTTCATATTCAGCCACAATTTTTCTAAAAAGAAAAAAAAGTAAAAAATTATAATCATAACATAAAACTTGTTATCAGAAGAGGGGCAATGGAAGTCAGAGACATTCTGTCTGAAACAAATTCACAAACATCTAATAACACATATAAAACCACACCTTTTCTCTATCTCCCCTCTTTGGTTTTTCTTACATACACTAGGTTCACTAAAGTTCTGAAAGGTTAAATGTTCTCTGCACAAGATAAAAAGGAAGAAGAGAAATGGAAAGAAAACAGCTTGTGTCTTGGGTGTAGGAGTGGAGCCCTAGTCTCGCACAAGCTAGGTACGTGCTCTACAGCTGGACCACATCCTGAACTCCAAAAGCTTTTGACACTTCGTGTTTAATAAACCGTCCTGGTTATTTTTTATTGTCACCTGACAAGAGAGAATCTCAACTGAAGAATTATCTTGGTCACACTGACCTTTGACCCCCCAGTAGTTCTGATGAATGTGGGAGGGCCCAGCCCCCTGCAAGCACCCCGCCATCCCTCAGCAGGTGGTTTGGTTCTCTAAGAAAGCTAGCTGAGCAAGCCAGGAAGAAACATTCCTGCCTCGGTTCCTGCTGGCTCCCCTTGATGACGGCCATGACCTGAAAGTATAAGCTGAAACCCTTCACGCCCCCAAGTTGCTTTTGGCCATGGTGTTTTTCACAGCAAATGAAAGCCAGCTAAGACAGAAGCCTTTTAGTCTTCTTGTTTTTGTTTTGTTTTGCTTTTTTTGGGACAGGTTTCTCTGTGTAACAGCTGTGGCTGCCCTGGAACTCGCTCTGTAGACCAGGCTGGCCTCGAGCCTCCCGAGTACTAGGATTAAAGGTGTGCACTCCTGGCTCTTTTAGTCTTTTACTAAAGATCATGTTTTTCTATGTAAATACTATAAGATGATCTTTCCGAATTAAAGCCGCTCCTCAGAGCTGCTCCCATGAGATCCACCTGACTCCATCTTTCCTGGCCCATTACCTTTTAAGCACTGTTCTCCTCTGATTCAGTTTCATGTTTTATCTTATCTGACTGCACAAATATTTCACTTATTCCGAGAATGAAGACCATGCCCTTGCAATGGCCTTTCACTCAGTGAAGCCTGGTTCTTCTGAAGACCCGGTGCTGGGCAATCTCCCTGCAGCTGCCCCTTAGTGGTAAGTCCGCCAAGCTGGACTCTGCATGCAAGGGTCCTTATGGTGGCCACTGTAAGCTCACTAAAGGTGGGGCTGTTCCAAGCCCAGCACTGGGCCTCCAACCAGGAAGTCCTCCCAAACCAAATAATACATGAGCCACAAATTACAGCAGTAATGTTTAAAATGTCTTGTCAGCACTCCAGGGCCCGCTGGTTAGGTTTATGATTTCTCCTCTTTGAGCTTATCTTTAGTAACGTAATGACTCTTAAATTTTTAAACTGGACAGGAAAAGAAAAAAAAATATTTCCTTTTCTTTGGGGGGGCATGAATCTCTGAGACAAATGTGTACCCAACTGGCCTAAAATTTGTTGTGGGGCTCAGGCTGGCCTTAAACTTGGGGTAGTCCTCTTGCCCCAGTCTCCAGAGTGCTGGGGTTCCAGAAATTTGAAAGCCCCCATCACCATGGCCAAAAGATTTTTATTTAAAGCCCATTAATTTTGCCTTTTATTAATTTCAATACCTCCATCATTGACTGTATCAGTAAGTTTTATTACTCTTTATTGTAAATGGATATTTTTAAAATAGACTTCTGTTCTTCTTTTAAAAAGGCAAGAATTATATAAATTCTATTCACATATGATGCTGTAAAGACCCTTGAAGCTATGGTATTTGAAGAAAATAGTCAATACTAGCTCTGACTTTTTCCTTTCCTTTTTTGAGACGGGGCCTTTCTTTGTAGCCTAGCTATCCTAGTACTTGGTAAGTAAAGTAGGCTGGGCTCAAACACAGAGATCACTGGCTTCTGCCTTAGCCTCTAGAGTGCTGGGATTAAGGGTGTGTGCCACCACGCCCAGACTGCACCGACATTCTTAATCTCAGAGCACAGTGCGAAGAGCAGAAGCCCTCCCCCTGCCAGCCGTAGATTCTGTGACAAGAGAACACTGCTGATGACAGCCACAACGCACAAAGGACCCACAACCACCCCAGCACCAGGCTGACCTCATCTCCAAGACTTCTTCTCGGGTCTCTTCGTATTTTTTCTTCCACTCATTTGCTTCGATCTCTTTAGTGATTATCTAGATTATAATAAAGCTTTGTTTTACTTCATCAGTCTACTGCAAACTGAAAAATAACACACGGCCAAGTCTGACACAAGATATTCAATTAACACTTAGAAATACAGTACATCTCAGTGTTTGTATATAAGAAACATCTGGGAAAGTACATTCTCAGCTACACAGGGTGCTGTAATACAGCCACCACCTGGCACAGTGTCCAGCCACCGGGAGAGGTGAACAGCACAGCTCCCTCACATTTAAGGGGTACTCTCAATCTGAACTGATGATCCTTCTGCCTCAGCCACCCACGTGCCGAGACTAACACACTACCACACTCATCACACTCCTTTCTGTAGTGATGTCTCAGCAGTTGATGATAAGAACTGAGTCAGAACGAAGAGGCTCAGGGTGCAGCCCACTGTGAATGACCAGAACCCAGCTTCACATCTGAGACATTCTCGATAATTAGAAGTATTTTCCACTCCTTGTCTCAGACCTGCTTGTCCTACACAGGGCTCAAACAGGCATCCAGCGCCTCCCTTCCACTTATCCTCCTCAGGTTCTCCCTTCTTCCTAATCTTCTGTTTCTGTGCTTATATAAAGGGTCTCAGGAATATAGAGATGGGGGCTGGAGAGATGAGATAGCTCAGTGGTTAGGCTGCTCTTCCAGCGGACCCGGGGTTCAATTCCCAGCACCCACATGGCAGCTCACAACTCCAGTTCCAGGGGATCTGACACCTCACACAGACATACATGCAGGCAAAACACAATCAATGTACATTTAAAAGAAGAAGAAGAATACAGAGACGGGACTGGATGACTCAGAGGTTAAGAGCACTGGCTGCTCTTGCAAAGGGCCTGAGTTCAGTTCCCAGCACCCACATGTGAGCTCCTAACTGCTTATACCTCCTTGAGGGATCAGGTGCTCCTCTGGCATACACATAAAATAAAAGAACCCACGGGCGACCCTGTGCGCTTCAACTGACCAGATACAGATTTCCTTCTGTCTACTACGTGGTCACCTCGGGGTACAAAGTCTTAACAATACATCAGTGCCATCAGCTCGCTGAACACCAGCACCACGGCCGGTGTCTACAGGAACCACACAAGCTACAGAGAGTAGGAAGCTGCAGGTTGTGGTGAGGCAAGTTAGCAGAGACGGGACCTCTGCAGACAAAAGAGAACGTTACCTCTTCCCTGATCAATGTGAGCACGGCAGTCTTGTCTGCTTCACTGAGGCAGATGCCATCCAGGGGGCTCTCCCCTCCACAGGCCACAGACACGGGGGCTTTTTCCGATGAGGACTCCAGCAGTCCCTGGGGGACAGGGTTATATTTAACATGGTTGGTTTCCAGCTTAACCCTGAATATACCTCAGCAACCTCCTCACCACAGATCCTACCCTTTATGACTGTGCTTGCAGAAGCAGGAGAAAGGCAGCTTTAAGCCAGCAATCTCGTTCCAGGACTAACTAAAGGAAGGGGTGCTAGTGACTACTCAGGTTGGTGTATGCTGGAGGAACAGATAACCCAAGAAAGCTTTCTTCTTACGAGCAGGAAAGAGTGTAATTGTCAAGTGGCTGGTTACCATAGAGTCCCAGGCAGAAAAGAAACACGTCCCAATACTTCATTTTTCTGGTATTTTCTGGGGATGTGTCTTATGCAAATAATTTTTCAAGAAGAGCGAGAACCCTTCCATCCACATACGGATGCTTTGTATCTCTGTTTAACCACTATGGCAATGATTCTAACATGTATTACCTATCATGCCTAAGCAGGCAGACGTGGCCAATCTATCTGACCTTCGACCTTCATCTTTCCACCTCAGTGACTCAGGCTCACCAAGGACTCCAGCTGCTGTGACGACCTCAAGTACACACCCATATTAACCCTTAAACAAAGAGGCTGAATTCAACATAAACCTGTGCTTAAGTCAAGTCTTTGGGAGTAGAGGGGTTAATGAGCAGTTCAGTTTTGAAACTACATCTGTAGCTCCTTTCTGGTGGTCTCTGGTCTTCTGGTGACCGGTTTACATCCAGGACAGCTGCAGTTCTAAAGAGCCATATTTGGTTGGCATTTCGTTGTTCCCAAATCAAACCTAGGAAAATGAGTTTTTTTGCATATGTGTAACCTAACAACCAAAATGCCAGCCACAGTGACCCTGGAAACAATCTCATCCTCCAAGTGTGAGTGAGTACAACTGAGGAGTTACTGTCTGCCAATCAGTCTGTTTCCTACAGTCTTGTTTAAACGGAGACTAAACAGAAAATCTGATAACAACTTCGACCAGCGGCTTTAAAACTTTCTGGGCCATCCTGGCCTCCGCCTCTCTCCAAATGCTCAAAAGACACATGTAATTTTAGCAGGCGTCTTTATAGACTTTAGCCCTAGGTTCAATTTAGAAAGTTATCTTTGGCTACAGAAAAGAGGCATTCCAATGCTGCCACCTGGCAGCGTGCATTCTCCAGAACCCCTTAGGAGGGGAGTCCAACCAGAGGACACTTGGGCAACCTCTAACAGAACCCCCCAAATTGCCGCATCTCCTAGTACCCATTCTCTTGTGTGATTTCATTCATTCTAGATGAAGGCCACTCTCAGGGACCACTCAGAGATGGCAAAGGTCACTGTGGTGGCTTTAATGTACTGGCCCCTATAAGCTCATAGGGAGTGGCACTACTACGAGGTGTGGCCTTGTTGGAGTGGGTGTGGTCTTGTTGAAGGAAGTATGTCACAAAGAGGTGGGCTTTAAGCTTTATATATGCTCAAGTCTACTTCCTGTTGACTACAAGATGTGAGACTCTCGGCTACTTTTCCAGCACCATGTCTGCCTGCATGTCGCCATGTCCCATGATACTGGACTGAACCTCTGAAACTGTAAGTGAGCCACCACAGCTAAATGTCGTCCTCTGTAAGAGTTCCCATTCTCATGGTGTCTCTTTACAGCAATAGAAACCCTTACTAAGGCAAGATGGCCACAAAGTCTCTGCTTTCTACATACTGGGATACTCTGTGGAAAGACCCACGTGGCAAAGAATTGATGTGTCTGCCAATAACCATGTAAGATTGGAAGCAAATCCACCTTAAGTCAAGCACAAAGATCACCTCTGATCAATAACTTAGTCAAGAAACACCTTCAATCAGGGAACCTGGCAAATCCCCCAAAGATTCCTAACTCATAGGAACAATGAAGTAATAAATGTTTCTTATTTTAGCCACTAAATTTTGGAGCAATCTGTTCCTTAGCGGTAGAATGCCAATCTATCCCTGGATACTGGAACCACCATCAAGAAACTCCTGGGCTGCTGGGCGGTGGTGGTGCACGCCTTTAATCCCAGCACTTGGGAGGCAGAGGCAGGCGGATCTCTGTGAGTTCGAGACCAGCCTGGTCTACAGAGCTAGTTTCCAGGACAGGCTCCAAAGCCACAGAGAAACCCTGTCTCGAAAAACAAAAACAAAAAACAAAAAACAAAAAAAAAAAAGAAACTCCTGGGCTGGGGTTCCTGGGTAGAGAACGCTACCTAACTAGCTCAAGGCTCTGGGTTGCAGCTGGCACCATAAAACTTTTTCACCTTCTAGTTGTTGCTACAACCCACGTAGACAGATAACTTACTGGATCAAACTGACTTTATTTTTCTGACGCTAAACTGATACACATTTTATGGTCAGTTTTTGTGAGTTTTTTATTATCTGTATGTCAGAATCCTCAGTCAACTCTAGGCATCTGCCTTTGTGTCTTCTTCAACCATGGTGTTAGCAAGCATTTAGGCAATGAGCACATTCCATCCATCTACATAGGGGATAGCTCCCTGTATGCTCCATCATCACAGACTGTATCCCATTTCCTCTGCTCCATCATCACAGACTGTATCCCATTTCCTCTGCTCCATCATCACAGACTGTATCCCACTGCCCGTGCTCCATCATCACGGACTGTATCCCATTTCTTCTGCTCCATCATCACAGACTGTATCCCACTTCCTCTGCTCCACCATCACAGACTGTATCCCACTGCCTCTGCTCCATCATCACAGACTGTATCCCACTGCCTCCGCTCCATCATCACAGACTGTATCCCATTTCCTCTGCTCCATCATCACAGACTGTATCCCATTTCCTCTGCTCCATCATCACAGACTGTATCCCACTGCCCGTGCCCCATCATCACTGACTGTATCCCATTTCCTCTGCTCCATCATCACAGACTGTATCCCACTGCCCGTGCTCCATCATCACGGACTGTATCCCATTTCTTCTGCTCCATCATCACAGACTGTATCCCACTTCCTCTGCTCCACCATCACAGACTGTATCCCACTGCCTCTGCTCCATCATCACAGACTGTATCCCACTGCCTCCGCTCCATCATCACAGACTGTATCCCATTTCCTCTGCTCCATCATCACGAACTGTATCCCACTGCCCGTGCTCCATCATCACGGACTGTATCCCACTTGAGACATTTACTAACTGTTCTCTTTTCATGTACTCAAGTCTTCAAAGGCTGATTGTATTTCATATTTTATAGGGCATCTCAATTCAGACTAACAGTTCAACTTGCCCGGTCAGATGGGGCTAGTGCTTGTTAAAGAACGTTATGCACAAACGGTCAGATCTGCAGATGAGGAAACTGTATAGAATATGGATGTGAGCATGAGTGTGAGCTTGTGTAGCACAGCGTGCACACAGAGGTCAAAGGACAGCTCTGGAGTCCGTTCTCTCCTTCCACCGCTGTGTGCGTGATCACTGTTACCTGCTGGACCATCTAGCCAGTCACACATTTCTTCCTCCCCCATCACCTAATGTTAACGAGAATTTACTGAATCAAACTAGTCTGGGCTCTAAACAAAGCGAAAGAAACATAAGCTGCCCCACCCCTCCAAGCTGGGAACTTACATGCACGGCGGACTCCTCTTTCTCCGTCTTCTGGCATGTCTCCTTCTCTAAACCTGAAAGAGAGAAAGCCATTTTCATACGAACTGCAAGGAATGGGTTCCTTTGTTCCTGGTGAAGACCAGGCAACTCCAGTGCCCGCTTAGAACAACAGAACACAGAACGTAAAGATTCCTAAAAGGTGCGCTGGCTTTCTTGAACGCTTATGTTAAAAGCCCACAGGCTTGCAGAGTTAGCCACAGCTGTCAACCCCCCAGCTGAAGGAATGGCAGGTCTGCCCCCTTGTGTCCACTGGAAATTCAGCGAACACTGAATCCTACTCTATTTCTAAATCTGAGCACATTTAAATTCTGGCTCAGGAGGACACTCTCACTATAACCCATGCAGCAGATAAAACTGCCTTAAGTCCAAGCTCATTGTCATCTAGCTGGGTTCCCTCCTATTGGGCCTACCTTTCTGGTATCAGGTGACATTGGGGGGGGGGGGGTCAGACAATGACTATATCTCTGAAGGAAGTTTAAAATTTAGAAAAGTACACAAAAAATAAAGCTAAAAATCTCCTTGTTGCAACATCTGAATAGTCTAATGTAAACCTCTCCTGTCCGCAAGCTGACCGTCTCAGGCATCAGATACAGTGCAAGAAATGACCACAAACAGAAGCTGAGGCGGTGGGGTGGAGGGTGGGGTCAGGGTAACTTGCTTGGTTTGGACTTTCTACCTGCTTTCCGGAGTCAGTGACAGGTCATGACCTCCATCGTTCCCCTTCTCTAAATGTATGACTGTCCACAAGAATTTCAGCAGGAGCTGGAGAGACGGCTCAGTGGTTAAGAGAACACACTGCTAGCGCAGGTTCCTAGCACCTACGCCATGTCAGGAGGCTCACACCAGCCCGGAACTCCAGCTCCAGGGACCCAAGGCTTCTGGCCTTCACAGGCACCTGTGTTCACATGCACATACCTATACCATACTGACAACCATTTTTAAGCTGGGTGCAGGGGTCTGATGAAAATGGCTCCCCCAAATATTTGTGAGTTTGGTCCCCAGTGGGTGGAACTGTTATTTGGGAAGGATTAGGAGGTGTGTCACTAGTGGCAAACTTTGAGGTTTCAAAAAGCCTATGCCATTCCCAGTGAGCGCCCCCACCTCCCTATCTCTCTCTCTCTCTCTGCCTTGCCGTTACTGTCTCAACATAGAAGCTCTCTGCTTCTCGAGCGCCATGTCTGCCTGCTGCCACACTCGCTGCCGTGAGGTCATGGACTTCAACTCTCCGGAAACTTGAGCCCCCTAAATTATGTTTTCTGTTATGGTGTCTTGTCACAAAAATAGAAAAATAACTAAGAAGAACCAGTATGAGGGCATGGTCTCTTGCTGTGGCAGAGGAAAGTGGTTGAACACTGTAAAGGGGGCTTGGCCATCTAGTAGGAGCTTGGAAAAGAACAATGCTGGGTGCAGTGTGGACTATGGAGGCCCAGCTCAGGAGGTTTTAGAGGGAACAATATTAGCAGCTGGCCTCAATACTATTCTTCTGATATTTAGGCAAAGAATATGGCTGTTTTTGTCTTTGTTATAAACTAAGTGTTTTGGATTAATTTCACTGGCAGAGAAAATTTCAGGACAGTCTAATACTGATTACACCATGTGGTTATTAGCAACCCCTCTTATGCGGATCTACAATGAAAAAAGAGAAATGGGGCAAAAAGAAATGCAAAATGTACAGACTGGGGAAAAAAGGAACACCAGGAAATGTAGTGCTAGGGCCATGGCTGGAGCTGAAACAGAGAAGGAGAAATGAATTAAAGGGTGAGACCCTAGCCAGCTAATCCTGCAATCTGTGAGAAGAAAAAGCCAAAGAATTAAGCGTTCCTGAAAGGTACCAACAAACAAAGCTGATGCTGATGTAATTCACAAAGACAGGTGCCATTCTAAGCAAGCAGCAGAATCTGGCATCAACAGGCACACTGTCCTAGCATCAGGAAAGATACAGGAGTAGAGGGGTTGTTGACTCTCCCTGTGAGGTTAAGGAGAGTCAGAGGTCAGCTGTAGAGCAGGGAAACCCTGCAGGGAAGCTCTGAGAGGCGGCTACGGGGAAACTGTGAAGGTGAAGCCCGGAGTGCAGTGGAGACTTCAGGATGCTGGAGATGCCTCAGGCTGCAGCCTACAAGTGTGTTGTGAGAGAAGAGCCAGCCAAACCCTCTAGCCTCGGACAGAATTACAGGATTTCCAGTTTGCTGTTTCCTCACTGTTTCCAACGCCTCCCTTTTGGAATGGTAATGCATATTCTGTGCACTGTATATTAGAAATATGTAATCTGCTTTTTGACTTTAAAGTCTTGAGACTCAGAGAGTAAGGGGACACTTCTGAAGCTGAACTAAATACACTTTCGCACAATGATATAGCTACAAGCCTATGGGGGCCAGAGTGGAAGTGGAAGGTCAAAGGAATGGCTCTCGTAAGCTCAGCTATTGAATCCGTGGTTCCCCATTGGTGGAACTGTTTGCGTGGGAAGGATTAAGGGTGTGTCCTTGTTGGAGGAAGTGTGCCACTGCGCCATTCCTACTTAGTCCCTCCTCTCCCTGCCTTGCAGCTGTTGTCTCAGCTGCCATAATGGTCATCGACTCCAACCCTCTGGAAGCATGAGCCCCAAAATTAAATGCTTTCTTTTACAGGTGGCCTCAGTTGTGCTATTTTCTCATAGCAACAGGAGAGCGCCTAAGACACTGTACATGGTGACATAAACCTCCAATCTCAGTACTTGGGAGACCAGGTCAGAGAAATACTACCCAGTAGAGGCCGGTCTGATCTGTGTGAGTGCTCTAGGCCAGTGAGGAGGCTATGGAACTGGGCCCTGTCTCAAAAAAAAAGAAAAATAAATAATTAGTTTCAGTTAGTGTGGGACAAAAAGAAAAGAGAAAGAAGAGAAAAATCAAGACCAAACCCTATACTTTTCTGTTTGTTTGGCCTTCATTTTAGGTTTTTGTACTTTGTAAAACTTACTTTAATATGGGCATGATGATATATATCTATAACTCCAACACTCAACTGATAGAAGCAGAGGAAACTGAATTTAAGGCCAGCCTGGGCTACACAGCAAGTCTGACACAACAAAACCAAGGGCTGGGGAGATAGCTCTGTGGCAGAGGGCTTGCCTGGCATACACAGGGCCCTGGGTTCAATACCCAGCACCGCAGAGACAGAAACAATCCGACAAAAAGAGCCTCATAATATAAGTGTGTGGTTTTTCGCTGGGTCTCACTTTTGCTGCACAGGCGTTAGCTATGAACCTTACAGAAGAGGACACAGATGCTTTCCTGGACCAGTCAGGCGGCCTGGCCAGCGGGCTTAGCAACGGGTAGAAAGTAAGCTGCAGAGAAAACGCCAACAGAGCACTAAAGGCCGCCACAGGCAAGCACCCCGCCTCCCCCTTGAACATCTGGAAGCTCAGTGAGCATGACAGCTCCAAAACGCCACATACAGGACATATTTACAGCCACTCGAGGATGACCGTGCCGATACAAAACAAGAGAAAACTTCAACGGCATCTCCTGGGCACCCTCCCACTCCTCCCTATGTCCACCCAGGACTGTGTTAATATGTCTGTGTCTCCTCCAGTAAAGAACAAATACAGATCTGCACCCGAACTGTCCCTCGGGTGATTGCCATGGACCTTCCGGCATGCCTTTGCTTCTGTGCCCGCTTCTGAGGATGAAGATGCCAGGCTTATGGGAGACACGGGAACATGGAGCATCCCCAGGACTCCAGGCCTTCCCCTGGCTCACCTTTCACCTCTGCCCCGGCTGGTTTCTGACCGCAGGATGTGGACGCCAGTTTCTCCTCATCGGTAGCGTGGCCGTCCCTATTAGAAATGTCTGAGATCTGCGAGATCACAGCCCCTTCATCCTGGGGAAGGCAACAGAGAAGATATTGTCCTTCAGAAGGGCAGTCATGGAGACCAGTGACATTTCTAGAGCGGAGCATGGAGCTGTGACTGAGGGAGGACGTTCAGGTCTCACCACAGGTCCAAAACCTACAAAACTAGGAGAAAGCTTCAGTCTTTCAAATGCGAAATGTTGTTTCTAGAACTTCACTTCTGTGGCCTGGGCCTGCAATTTTAAAAGTTATGCTTTTCTAACCTAAGCATGAAAGTTTAAGCACTTCAAGAGCTCTGAGGTAGGAGATCCATTTTTCTTGCATATAATCCCCCTCCTTGGTTCAAGTACACTCGCCTCACCGTGCAGTACGAAGTTCTTAGTCACAGTCAAGAACTTTCAGAACAAGTATTTTTAATAATGACCAACTATCTCTCAGGGAGCATATTGGAATAACCACAAATGGCATCCTCAACACCTGTATATTCTGAATACTAACCTGACTTATTGTAACTCAAGTTACTCTGCTGATTCGATATTCTACCACCCATTTCAAAACTCCTCAGACGAGTCCTTCAGCCATAACTGGACGGCATTTTCTCCCTCCGAATCTGTTTGCACTCCACTTCCACTGAGAACTTATCTCATGGAGGAAGGAGTGGGGGGGGGGGGGGATGGACAAGATCAAAATACACCGTGGATGTGTAAAAACTGTCAAGAACAGATAAAATATTCGCTGGAGCTCGTCCACCCAGCAAGGCTGACCGGGCCAGCAGGCCCCAGGACGCCCCGCCTCCCCAGCCTGAGGATGGCAGGCATCACTGCCGCTCCTGGTTTTTTCAGAGGTGCTGGGAATTGAACTCAGGTCCTCATGCTTGCATAACAACAATATACCAACTGAGCTCCAGCCCTAAAGTCTTTTTTTTTTTTAAGGTCTTTAATTTCTCTGCTTAAAAATACCACATCCTCTTTCATTATAAGTCTCTGAGTGTTAAATTGTTTTTATTCTGTCGGGTTATTGCTATAATCACTAATGTACAAATTATCCTTAAAATATTGTGAGATTTACAATAATGTCAAAGGCAGGAGGCAGTGAGATGACTCAGCAGGTAACGGAGCTCCTGCCGAGGCTGATCTGAGTTCAATTCCCGAACTCACAAGGCGGAGGAAGAGAACCTCCTTGGACAAGCTGCTCGCTGACCTCCACATAGGGTCTGCTCACGCACTTGCGAGAGCGCACACACAAAATAAGTAAATAAGTGAATTAAAATGGTTTTGAAAATTATTCATAAAAGCAGATTTTGTTGAACTAATTACTCTAAAGTTTTTACAGCCTAACACTTAAGGCTTCTGTTTTGTTTTCAGACAGGGTCTCATTATGTTGCCTGCTTTGGCAAAACTTTTTTTCACGTATTTGTAAAGAAGAATTTGTATTATCAAAAAAGAATTCCAATTGCAGACTCTACCACTCCTTTTAAAGCGTCTTACACTATAGTTGTTGGTACAAACAGCACAAGATACACTTAACTGCATCCTATTAACCCGCATGTGTTTCTATAATCACAGTTATGCTGAAATAAGGCCTCAAACAATAAAAAGATGGCATCACAGACCTGTGTGCTCTAGTTTGGGGGTTTTTATTTGTTTCTTAATTACTCCATATATTCCTGTATGTATATCATAAACCACTAGGATAGTAAGGATAAAATAAAAGGCTATCCCGTCCATTATCAGAGTCAGCACCCTTTATAGAACTGCCACCAAAATGTCACAGCATCTCTGGTGACCTGCATACTGGGCTGACAACAGCAGAATATGCTGCCCCCTCACTAAGAGAGTTGTCTTTCTTTTTCTTAATGATTTCCTTGTATTTCAAATGCACTGGTGTTTTGCCTGCATGCATGTCTGTGTGAGAGTGTCACAGGCCCTGGAACTAGAGTTAAAGATGGCTGTGAGCCGCCATGTGGGTGCTGGGTCCTCTTGAAGAGCAACCTGTGCTCTTAACCACTGAGCCAGTTCTCCAGGCCCCAAGCCTTCCTGAATAAGTTCAGGACACTGAGGATCTAAAAATTGTTTTCCTTAAATCTGACCCCTCAGACACCCCCACAGGACAAAACCCACCCTGGCGACCAGTACAGACTTACCTGAGAACATGAATCCAAATCAAGAGCCTGAGTTTCGTATTTCTTCACCTTGCAGCCACTCCTAGAAATGAGAGGAACAGACAAGCCAGGTTGGAATCCCAGCGACAACTTTCCAGGCATGAGATGGAGCAGAGCACAGGGTGGAGGGCAGAAGCCAAAGCGCATAGCACCGCGATCAGACATTTGCATGGGAGAGCAGACCCTAGAGACCCACGGCCCGGCTCATTCTCCCGCAAGACCACCTCACTCGAGTCTATGGATTGCCAGATATCCCGCATGTTTAATTACACATCACAAACAAACAAACAAACAAAAAGGCACCTTTCTGAGATTCAAGTACCGCTAAGAACAGCCTGGGCAGCTAGAGACAGCGGTTATGACCTTTACTCGCTTGGCTTTGACGTTCATCAGAAGAATCACCACGCTAGACCAGAGTCTTTGAAAAAATCTTTATTGCACTAAAAACCATAGAACTCTCCAAAGACAGCTCCAGTCTAGGCCTGGGCGCTTACAGAAAGGAGCCATGGCCAAGAGAAAGTAAAAAGAAACAAACTGTTACCATTTGGAAGTAGGCAAGTGGGAAGGCGGGAAACCAAGTATCACGTACTGTACAATGCCCAGAAGTGAGGAAAACTTGGCCATCTGTTATTTTTAGACTAGTACATAATTTGTAATCACAGGACTATTACAGATTCTTCTATGTTTTAAGGAACTTAAAATATTCAGAAAAAAAAACCCACACCATTGTGACCAACAAAGAAAAACAAGCATTTCCAATTTGTTTTCCTTTCATGGAAGAAAAGAGAAAACACAGACAAGTATATAAATTACCAGAGTGTACAAGGTCACTAATTCATGGTCTTCTTCACCCACTGTTCTAAGTGTCACCAAAATTAAGTCTACTTGGTAAAAGTTATTACCTGCTCTAAGACAGCAGCCTTATCCTACCAAAAAAAAACCAATCTAATTATTCGAACAACAGGGAGCAGCAGGGCAGGCCATCCAATCACTACTGAATGGCCAGGGCCAGGCCAGCTTTGGTTCACAGTGCCACAAGACACATGCTGAGTAAGCCGGGGCACACGCTTTTTGCACCCAAGGTGGAAAAAGCAGTATCCAGTCCTTTAGGTCCAGACAATCGCAAGGCTAAGCTGACTAAGATGTGGCAAATGAAAGGCAATTTGACAATGTCAGACAGAAGCTAACATGCGGGGACAGAGGAGGGAGGGGACCAAGAGTCCCAGGGACAAACAGGACCTACAGCAGAAGTACTTACAACAGAAAACAGAGAAATTTCACTTGCTCAGTAGTCCTGATGCATCAACAAAGTCAGACAGAGAGAGACACACAGACGGAAAAGAGTCGTGTGAAAACCGGAACATTTATCCTTTGTCTGGTAGACGTTAAAGCTGCATATCCTTGATATCATCTGACACACAAATTAAAAACATCATATTCAAGCCCGGCACTGTGGTGCCTGCAGGCAGATCTCTGGGAGTTCAAGGCCAAACTGACCTACAAAGTCAGTTCCCAGCCAGCCAGGGCTGCACAGTGAGGCCTTGCTTTAAAACAAACAAAACGCCAAAAACAAAATATTAAAATTTTTATAACAAGTTATATTCGTGAATGTTAGCCCTGGCGAATGAATGACGACAAGACCTCAGTTTTCACGGAGTAGAGAGAGATGCAAACACTGAGAAATGCTCTGGGTTCAGTCTCAGAGATGATAAGGGAGGCCCTCGTGCACGGAAGTGTGCAGCACACAGAAACAGCACTTCACTACTGGGCACACTCACCCTGATTGTGCAAGACCAGGTAAACGGCAATGCCTGAACAAAAGTACAGGTGGAAAGACACCTGGCCGACCCCACCAGCGGGGTCACTAAGCAACTTAGGTGAGCCAAGCATAGTGCAATATGTCTGTAACTCAGCACTATGCTGGCTAAGGCAGGAGGGTACACAGTTACAGGTTAGCCTGAATTTTATACTGTGAGACTCTGCTTTCCCATCATTTGTATAATTTGCTCTGCAGAATCCTAACCATACTGTACTTTCTCTATTTAAACACACCTTCTTGAATGTTCCAAGAAACTAACCAGCCACTGTGGATGTTAACTATGCTTCAGTCTTTTAAAAAGTGGAGGCCTCTACTCTCCGGGTCCTAACACTGCCCAAGAGCTCAAGCACTCTTCGTACAAAAAAGGAATTCTGCATGGGTACAATTTTTTTAAATTAAATTTGTGTAATCTATTGGACCAATAAACTTACTCCACAAAAATGGAACAGTAGAAAGCGCCACCAGGTGAGGATGGCAGGACTCAAGAATTGGCATTTCTTGGTTCTAAACACTAGGGCAGAGTCAGTGTCTCCTTCCTGAGGCCAGATCTCATCTTAGAGCAAGACTCCCCTTCAGCCTGCAGCTGGAAAGAAGGCACTTAAAGACTACGGCTTGGGCAGGCATCTAGGAGCAAAGCACCAAGGGAGCAACACCCCCAAGATGAACCCCAAGTGCTGCCCAGACATGAAAGTCAAGAGAGGTCTGCACGAACAATCAGTGACAGTGTTCAAAGGCCATTTAACTGCTCCTGTGTAGCCCACGAGCAGATTTATTTCCCCTGAACAGACCAGCAACACTCACGACTGACTGCTGGATGGCTTAACTTTCTTGAAATTAGTATTTCTACTCTTTAACCCTCTGGATATTTTTCTTTCCCGTTCAATTCATAATCAGGTGGTTTTAAGACACAGCAATTGTTGAAGAGTATTTCCTGGGGCTGGAGAGAAGCCTCAGACATTAAGAGCACTGGCTGCTTTTCCAGAGGACCCAGGTTTGGTTCCCAGCACCATGGAGACTTACAATGGTCTCTAACTCCAGCTCCAGGGGATCTGATGTCCCCATCTGCCCTCCGCAGGCACCAGGCATGAAAGTTGTACATAGACATACACGCAAGCAACACCCCCAAATTTCCCTAGCCAATCTAATGACAACCACAAACGCACTTCCTTTCAGAATTTTACCTCCGTGTCACTGGCCCCTTGCATCTAGTTTTTCACAAGATGTCACGGGGTTATAAAGAGGTATATGATCTTTTATTCAACTTGAGTTTCTTGGTAATGTAACCCTGTATCAAAATTAAAAATCTGACATGGAATATGGCCTGAGGGATTCCTCTGGGAACTACTACACTAAAGAGAGGTTCATCCCTGTTTCCCAGGAGAAGGAGGTCGAAGAACACAACACATTTACCCAGATTTTCTGGCCATTTAGAATACTCTCTATTCTCATCACGGAAATCCGCTAATGAACTAGAAACACACAAGGAAGCAAGAATTCTCATCACCACCACCACCAAAAGTCACGCCTTTCGGTTCTAGAGGACTGTTCTGGGCCATTTCTGACAGTGCTGACCTTAGACAGGTAACTATGGGATGTAAAGATGGTGGCTGATACCGACACTCAAATTCCAGGCACAGTGTGATTCCTGGAAACTTCAAATCTTGATTTCTATCAAATAATTTTTTTAAAAAGTATCCCGGGTAGGGGGAGGGAGGAATGACCTGAACAAGTCAAGGACCCAGAGATGAGGCAGAAATCGACCAGGAAAGTCCTGGCGCTTCCAAAGGCACAGGAGAGGTAGGCAAAGACTACAGAGTGATGTGCCCCCCCTTGGACCTCACACATTTATGATTGTGATTCACAGAAACCAAAAAGAGCTGCCAGACTCCCAGAGAACACACCAGAGCACCATGCCCAGCACCCGCTGTCACTCACGTTATTAAACGCGACTTTGCCTTCTTGGGTGAGTCTAAGATTTCATTAACATGATTACCAGTGGGAGAACAAAAGGCGCTGCTTGTCAAAGCTGAGGCTGGCTTAAAGGGATCCGCGGATTCGTCAAAGTGGTAGGAGCCTTTGGAGGAGAAGGGAGGAGAGCTCTGCAGAACGGGGCAGCTCCCAGAAGAATTAACATTGGGGTGGCCCCATTTACTAGGATCTAGCTTAGGAGACGTTTGGGAGAGGGAGGCATCTTGGACTCTTGGGTCTGCAGGCTGTTCAACATCTACTGCTTGGCTGAGGCCATCTTTCCGTATGTTGGGTGTCAGTTTGTTAATAGGCTTCCTTGGAAGGGCATTCTTGGTCTCAACATTTTCCCCTCCTTCTGTAAAATCATACTCAAGCTTGGGAGGCAAGTTCCTGGACCCCTCCTGCAGCTCAAGCCCTGAGCCGCTGGAGCCATTACTGAGAGCATCCGCAGCCTCTTTAAGGTTAAGGGAAGATTTCAGGGCCCTGGCACCTCTCAGCACAGTAGGACGTGTGTTCTTATCCAATTCATCAGGAGCCGACAGGGGAGAAGCCGTAGGGAGAGGCGACCCCTCCAGGATCATTTCCGTTTCAGAGGCATCGCCTCCGGCTGTCTTCTTCCTCAAAGAGACAGGTTTAGGCTTTCTCAGCTTGCTTCTGCTGGCCACCGGTTCTCCATTCTTCAGCCCGCCTTCTGTAAAAGCCTCAAATGTAGCCCCCATGCCTCCTTCTGTCACTGGCTTGTCCTGAGTGGCTTCTGATGCAGCGGAGGGCAAAGCCCTGCCTGAGAGCGCAGGTGCACAGCCATAGGCAGCTGGGTCGTCTGTGGGACTCCTGGTTTCTATTGAAAATGGCCTCACTACCGAGACCTTACTAACATCATGTTTGGTTTCTCCTTTGGCATCCCCGACTGAGTGAGCATCAGCAGTCATCTGTGGTGCATTTTCTGAAGATCTAGAACATGGATCAGGTGAATACTTATTGATTACTTCTGCTATGGACTGTTCAGCGGTTTCTTGTGAGTCTAGAAAAGGAGAAGAAAGAAAGCTATTAAAGAATTCTTTCCACCCCTGGTACAGAGTTTGTATGGTGTGACTTTATCATAACAAGCAAGGACTCCTACTCTTAGCTCAGCCGTGATGGCAGTTTCACCTTTAACAAATGCCTTTAATCCCAGCACTTGGGAGGCAGAGGCAGGTGGATTTCTATGAGTTCAAGGCCAGCCTGGTCTACAGAGTGGGTTCCAGGATAGCCAGGGCTACATAGAGAAACCCTGTTTAAAAAAACAGCAACAACAACAACAAAAAAAAAAAACAAAAAACAAAAAAATCCCAAATATCCCTTGACTAAAACATAAGCCATTAAGAATTGTCAATTTTTCCCCTTGTAACATTTATCTCTAGGCTAAAACAACAATCCCTTCAACCACTTGTAAACAAAATAATTTCTTAATTTTGGTTTTACAGAAATATGCAAAATTACTACAAGGGCATTAGTGGGGGGATTTCAAACACAAGCTAAGTGCTTCCCTGACTCTAACATGAAACAATAGTTTATCAACAGAAACTGATGATCCTCCTGCCTCAGGCTCCCCAGAGCTAGAATCACAGGTACACACAGGAGAGCCCTGCTCTCCCTCACTTTCTCTGACTGTAACCACACAGGGACTTCTCAACTGTCCTCCAAACATGCTTCAAATATTCTGCAAATGGCATGAAGGCTGTGTTTAGCTATAAACACTCTAGAGAAGCTGTTGATACTAGTCATCAAACATTTTCTTTATTCCCAAAGAATTTTTGTAAAAAGAAACCAAATGTGGCCAAATCTGGTAAGTCCACCCAGGGATGTGTGGAAAGGAATTTACCGTACTGTTATCCCATGGCCTTAAGCTTTTTTTCATAAACTTTATTATTAATAAAGCTTGCAAATAAAACCCATCACACCCCCCAAATTAACTAGTTCCTATGTCTGCACATCTCAATGAGCCAATGCAGTCAGCACAGCCACTCAGAACTGGAAGCTGGAGCTTCATGTTACGTTTCCTACGTCCACTATCAAATAGATTTTATGCATTTATCCGTCACCAAAAGCAAAAAAAAATCTGTAATAAAGAAAACAATTAGCTTTCCATTTGAAGAAGAGGGGGAGGAGGAAGAACTGTATTATACATGGATTTCTCAGGTGATATTTTTATTTTTATATATTTTTAAAAATATTTATTATGTATACAATATTCTGTCTGTGTATATGCCTGCAGGCCAGAAGAGGGCACCAGATCCCATTACAGACAGTTGTGAGCCACCATGTGGTTGCTGGGAATTGAACTCAGGACCTTTAGAAGAGCAGGCAATGCTCTTAACCTCTGAGCCATCTCTCCAGCCCCAGCTGAGATATTTTTAAACAATACTTTTAAATATTTCAATGTACTTTTCACCAAAAAGATTTAAACTCATGTGGAATCACTTCATGACCATTTTTGAAAATTTACATTTTCAAAATTAAACAAAATGAGATGAGGGACTGGAGCAAAGGCCCAGCAGATAAGAGCAGTGATTACTCTTCCAGAGGACCGGGGTTCAATCCCCAGCACCCACATGGCAGCTCACAACCATGACCAGTGCCAGGGGACTGACACACTCAGCGAGACATATGCAGCCAAAACACTATACACACAAAGTAAAAAATAAATTATTTTTTTTAAAGTAGAACTGCTCGGGACTTTTAGCAATTTGACTTTACAACACATTTCCCCCTATCCTTTCAGACTTCTGGACGAGGTGTCCTTCCCATGAGGCAGACGGACGGACAATGAGTGGGGAATGGATGGAATGTACTGGAAGGAGCTGAAAATGAACAAAGCTGTAATTTTCTGGGGTCTCCAGGAGAGTGTTCCTCATTAACAGAAAATTATGTAACATTTGGGAGAAAACAAGGAGGTGAGATTGGTGAGGCCCGGGTGACAGAGCAGATATGGGCTGGGGTGGGCGTATCACAGGCCGGCTGTCATTAGCTTATCAAACTGAAGTTAGGTAGGACGCTCCAGTGAGTTTGGAAATGTTGAAGAGGTTGCCTACTAATGCCAGTGAGTTTTGCCTAAGTTTTGCTCCTAACCACTGAGCCTTCACTCCAGTCCCTCATCTAACTTTTTTTTATTTTGAAAATATAAATTTTCAAAAATCATCACTGAGTGGTTGAAAGTGAGACCCCAGCCCCGACAACCCTATATCCAAGAAGTCCGGGATGTTTGGATGAAAGTGTCACCCCAGTCCCTGACCAATGGAGCAGGAATGAAGTAGGAAATCTCTATTTCAAGCCCCTCCCCCACCAGGCACTGACCACTCCCACAGGCTAGTTAGGCTGCTACCCAGAAAGGGAATACATGGTCTCCCCAGCTCTCTTCCCTTCACCATGCTTACCCAGGCCATCTGGGAGCGCTGCATTAAATGTGGGCATCTTTATTCGATCTAATTTGGTCTGACTGGAATTATTTGCGTCGGCGGAGAGGCTTGTCTTAAGAAATATACCTAACAATGAGGTGATTCCACACAAGTTTAAATCTTTTTGGCGAAAAGTACATTGGAATATTTAAAAGTATTGTTTAAAAAAAAAAAACTCAGCTATTGGGCAATGGTGGCGCACACCTTTAATCCCAGCACTTGGGAGGCAGAGGCAGGCGAATCTCTGAGTTTGAGGCCAGCTTGGTCTACAGAGTGAGTTCCAGGACAGCTAGGGTTACACAGAGAAACCCTATCTCGAAAAACCAAAAATAAATACATAAATAGGTAAATAAATATAAAAGGGGCTGGAAATATTTTTCTCACTCATTGAAGCCATGGCTACAGATATCCTTAAAAAAACAAAAAACAAAACACACTGACTGCTATTCAAGACCAAGCCATTGCTACCTCACACTTTCACCTTGAGTTCTAACATGTTTAAACCCAAATTGTTAAAACAGATGTCAGTTCTTAGGTTTACTTTAAAAGGTTAACCCAATGTAAGACCTAAACTTTATCTACTCATGGAAACAGACCATAGGCTTGCTGTGGAATGGCTGCCTGACACATGCTGCGTTTTCCTGTCACCCACGACCAGATCAGCAGTGCTGGCTAGGGACAAAAAACTTTAAGCAGTGTTTGGGTATCACAGGAGCAGTGGACGAGGGAAGGAAAACACAGTACGGAGCACCCTCACCCAGCCTCGGCCTCCAGCCTCCAGACAACTGAAGGAGCCTTGCCAAGGGACATTCTCCTCCCTGGTCATTCCTCTGCCATCTCTGGGCATGTGCCAGGTAAATGAACCCGCCCCTTCCTTCATCTAGGCACTGCGGACCCCACTTCTAACAGCACATCTCAGCGCCAGTAAAACATCTTCACTGGGTAGTGAGAGTATAAATTGTCAATTAACCAGCTTGTGAAGCTGTACAAACATAAAAACAAACATTAAAAAATTGTCAGCTAGGCCATGCCTTTAAACCCAGCACTCGGAGGAAGAAGCAGGCTCTGGATCTAAGTTCCAGGTTAGCTCCAGGGCAGCCAGGGCTACAGAGAAACCTGTCTCAAAAACAAAACAAAACAAAAAAAACCCTCTCTTTGAAAAGGCATATTTGTTGAAGTTTCATTCGTACCTAACACCAACTGGCGAGAGTACCAAGAGCAGCTGCCCAGTATAACTACCTCTGCCCTGGGACAGAAACTTCAAGTCTAATGCCACCTCCCTCTCAGAGACTAACAAAACATCTGCTACCCCATCTCAGGCCAGTTTTAGCCACAGATTCAGCCTTGCTTCTCCTCTGAAAGCTCCCTTATATAACAGCTGCCTTCCGCTCACACAGAACCCCTGGCATTCCTTGCGAGTGCAGGAGCTCCTTCCCCACAGCCAGTGTGAGTGCTGAGCTTGATTCTGACAAACTGGGCTCTGCCAGAGGCTGGGGGAATGCAGTCGCTAGGAACAGATCAGGGATAAATTCAAAGCAAGCACAAAGGAATACAGAACGAAGGCCTGTGCTGCCCATTGCTGCTAACAAAACTCCTTCAAGACGGAAGAACTGTGAACCCCTGTAAGCCCATATTTCTATATGGTGTGGCAGCCAGGCTCTGAAGCCATAGGCCCCACCTGAGGTGGTCACATAGCCCTGCAGACAGGCTGTCACTGCCCTAACAAAGGGTCAGGATGTTGTTTTGCTCCTTTCTTTGTAATTTGGAGGATGCCTGATAGAGATGCTGATTCAAACCTAAGGGACAGCTAGCATACACACCAGACAGGTAGATGTGGACATGACTAAAAGCTTGATCACCTAGGAGACAGAATGCTGGTGTATTTCCCACTCGGTTTATGTGTTGATATAAAAGCTGTTTGGAGAATAAATGAGAGGAATTCTTCAGGATGTGAACTCAGGACTTCATGAGGGACCACTGAGAATCTCCTGATAAAGCCATGTGAGTTGTGTCTTTATTCCCGTGCCACCACGCCAGTCCAGAGAGAGATAGTTTATGCAGGGGTCTGGTCCAGAGAAATAATTTATGGTCCGGTGCTAGCCCTCTGCTTTTCAGCATTAGATGCTTTTGACACTTACCCAACAGGAAGGCTATTACGGTAGGCTTCGTCCCTCCCTCCTCAAAACACAGGTCAGCGAGTCAAATCCCAAGCCAGAGGCCAGCGGGGTGGCAGGGTCTGTAATCCCAGCACTTAGAAGGCAGAGGCAAAGGGATTCCAAGTCTGAGGCCGGATGAGCTACCTTGTCTCAAAAAATCATACCTACAAGCCAGGGTGGTGGTACACCCATTTCATCCCAGCACTCGGGAGGCAGAGGCAGGTGAATCTCTGTGAGTTCAAGATCAGCCTGGTCTACAAGAGCGAGTTCCAGGACAGGCTCCAAAGCTACAGAGAAACCCTGTCTCAAACCTCCCCCCCACACACACCCAAACTGTTGAAGTTTTTGCTGGCATGCAAGACATCTGTTTACTGTTGGAAAAGCCAATGTCTGCAGAACACTGAGGCCACTCTGTGCTTTCTTCTAGAACA